AGATTTAACCCTAAACATGAAACTCACGTGTAACTCTCACGCGGTCATCACGTGTGATGTCCGCGGTGTCCGAAAAAAATGTGCTCCGTTTTGTACCTGACTAGACCCCCTGAACTACTACTAAAGCGTGAGAAACTATTAAAACGTAAATAAAAAGTATTAAAAACTATAAAAAAAACTACAACTAAATCTATTTAAAAGTTAAATTAGAAAAATGAGTTTTAACAGCAGTCTTAAAAGTGTCCAATGTCTTCATGTTGCGAATTGCCGTAGGTAATGCATTCCAGAAATAAGGGGCAGCTGACTGGAATGCACGATCGCCAAGAGTTGGATTAATCTTAATGCCTGGTTACTCGAGGAATATAGACTCATTTGACTTTAGAGAGTTGTTTCGTATTCCGCCCATAGCCAGAGCGATACTGCGTGGAAACATTAAAATAGCGGTTATTACATAGTGTTAATTAACTCCCAAGAGGACAGTTTTAGGTACATAAGCGGCCACGCGGTATTAGACGGGGACACTATCAAGATAGAGCGGAAATGTACCAGGTTTTTTTTACTCTCTCCCTCGGCGTCTTCAGTGATTCAAGTGTGTACAGAGAAAATTACAGTATACCACCGAATAAACCTGTTGTAAGTGCAAAAAACTGGTTCGTGATACTCTTCCAAGTGGATTCGATATATATCCAAACCAGTCCAAAAAACCTGAACAAGTTCGAAGAAGAGAAGTCACAAGTTCTGTTCAAAGCCTCAAGCTCACCGATTTGAAGTCAGCAGCTGACGAACCGCCGAGGAAAAGTCGCAAGCAGAAGCTAGACAAGTGGCAGTGAAAGCTCAAGACCTCAGAAAATCAGGAGCAGATTGGAATCTACAAAAACAGCATATTCAGTAGGAAAAAGGTATTCAGTTTCTTTATTTCCGCAGAAAATACGGCGAATCATTTGAATTCAAGTTCAGAAGTTACGCAACTGGACCTTGCTTAGATGACACATTACTTGCAATTCAGAAGAGAGTTTCATGAAGACATTTGGATGCATTGATTACATGAGGATGATATGACTTTGTTCCAATATTGGAAGTTTAGAACTGATGAACAATAAAGTTTAATACTTCATTCAATCGTAGAGAAAACGCAAAAGGAAAAAACACTTAATTTCCCTCTTAATTGTGTTTAAAAACAGCAAGAGACAATTACGGATAGGCTAATCGAGACGGGATCTACAGAAGAACAACTTAAGGCTAATCAGCAGGTGGGCGATAAAGTCAGAGGCGATTTTTTAAAATACAGCGAAATTTTTGCCACTTATCAAAAAGCGTGTAGCTCCCAAGAACCACCGCACGATGCGCTCGAAGCTATGACCACAGCAGTAACCAAAATGGTAGACGTTTTAGGTTCGCAAAAGACCGCTAGTGACGGACTTGACAAGTTATCAGTGCCAGCATGGGACGGAAATAGAAAATCTTATGCAACTTGGAAGGGCGAATTTAACTACTGAATGTATAAGTACAAACAGGACGAAGACGAACAGCTGCAAAGACTAAGAAAAGCGTTACCAAAAAACTCTTTTTGGTCTGATCGAGTCCGGCCAAGCAAGAAAATCGAGCAAACGTGGAAAATTCTTGATACTGAATTTGGAAATCAAATGAAATTGACGGACACACTGCTAAACAAAATTGCCAATCTCAAACCAATAAAGGATGACTCGAACTCGCTCTCGCGTTACGCTGCTAGAACATTAAGCTTCGTGAACAACATGGAACAAAACGGTTGCGCAGTAACAAGCACATCGGAAGCACCCTTTGTCATGTCACAGTTTCTGTCTAAATTGGATGCCAACGATTACATTGAATTTGGCCGCGAAATGCTACGCATGGGAAAAGAAGAAAATGCTTTAAATTTGATTGATTGGCTAAACAAAGAAGCAAGTTTACGATCGCAGTTGCTGAAATCCAAGAGAGAATAGACCCTCAAGAGTTCAGCTACATCAGATCTGAACATAATCCAGCTGACGCCTTGACGAAGGGAATTCTCCAGGAACAGCTGGAAAAATGGTCACAAGGACCGCAGTTCCTTAGAAAGCTGCAGGAAGAGTGGCCCAAATTTGAAAAAAAATGCGCTGAAGATCAATGAAGAGTTGTCAGCTCATATGAAACCTCCCACTGAAGTCAAACAAACTTCCTGCGACAAAGCAGAATTTTCAACTGCCCAGAAAGAATTAAGAGACTATCTCCTCTTTGTACAAAAACTGGGTCTTTTTCGGGTGGGCCGTCCGGCCTAGCGAAAGCTTCAGGTTTAACTGGTTTAATATTCCGAGGCTCTTCACCGCTTCTTGTTTTGGTTTGACGCTCACAATATTCTAATATTCAGTCCCGTCGGCATCCCTCAAAAGTTTCACATCTGACCAGCACATTTGTCGACATTCATCACAGCCTCTCAATCCAAAACGGATTGAATTCTTTAGCCACGCCGTGTTGATTAAAGCCTCGGCACTAGAGATTCATAGTATATTACCCTTGTAAAGAACTCTTACTTCGTCATCGCGGATAGTCTCGTCTTCAAATGGTGTGCTTCCCCTGTCTTCTTTTTTCAGGAGTTTGCGACGAGTATCCAGCGCCGTCCTTGTTTGCTCAAACTCTCGATCTTCGACGATGCTATTTGAATACTTCACGTTTTTCAAGTGACGATTGAAGCTCGCTATAAACCCTCTGAGGCTTGACGGTTCATAATGGTCCCCATCTTTTCTTTGACAGCAACTATAAACTCACTCAGAAAATCATTGAGTTCCTGTGGTTGTATCTCTTCTATTTTTCAGTTTTCTTGCTTGGATTTCAGAAACTCGAAGAGCAAGCCAACATCTCGTCTAGTTTTGGACAACGTTTGTTTGTTTTTCTGTTCCTCGATAAATTTGTTAAAGGATTTCTGCAAAGCTGGAAAGCGAAGGCTTTCTCCCTCAGCCATTATTTAGCTTCTTCTGGCAATTTTCTTGAGTAGATATTAACCAAACCAGAAATCTGCTAAAAAATTTTGACAGAGCTGCAAGAATAAAACCTTTAACGAAAACACAAAGCTACCGAAAACACGGTTGCTTTTGGTGGGTGCGCTTTGATTGGTCGAAACGTTCTACTCACACGTAAAAAGGCCGTTTCGCTTTTGAAATTGGTTGAATAAAGGCAGGAACCATGTTTTCACTCAGGTTGACTCAAACATAATAACTCAGAGTGTATGCAATAAATTGGTTTTTCTCATGCAAATTTAATTCCTATTTGGCTATTATTATCGTCAAGAAACATAAACGTAAATTTTTATCACCGGAAATAAGTTAAGAAAAAAATTGCTAGAAATTGTATGAGATGGGTAATGAATGACTAATCGGTGGATCATCATTAGATAATTGATAAGTAATCGAACGAATCAATTACTCATTGATGATATCAATGATTGATCGATGTAATCGTGAGAAATCGATAGGGCACAAACTTGTTGGCAATCGATTAGTCATCGATTACCCATTGATTATAGCGAATAATCAATGACTTATCGGTTGATTACCCAATAATTACTCATCGATTACTCATTGATGTCATTTATCATCGATTTACGTCTGGTATTAAATAACAAACAAAGGGACAGAACGTCATTTACTTACAATATAATATAGTTAATGTGCGTCAATTAAACGAAAATTATGAAATGTTTTTCTCATTGTCAGGTCTTGTAGGCTAACAACGACTAAACTCGCACCAATCAGTTAAAAGTGGATAATTTTATGATATGGTTTCACTCTCTATTGTGCTCAAACTAAAAGCGAAAATGGACCTCGTTTTCCTCTAGGCTGCCGCTTTGTTCCATGTAATAATATTTGTAGTTATTTTTTTACAATAGGGAGCTTTAGATCAAGGACGCGACAGATCTGCGACGCGACTGGAAGTAATTTTTCACAGAAAAGGCTTCCTGCCCATGCTCGACCCTTCAAATTTGACGCGTCGTAAGGCGTACAAAACGCGAGTCAAAGGAATTTGGCGCTGTGTAGAAAACGTGAGTATTAATTGACCTTGTCAACCTAGAAATCGAAATCCAGATTCATGTAGAAACTTTCTCGCGAAAATTTACGCTGCAAACTTGGCGGAGATGACATTTTTTAACTTGATATGCCGGTTACTGAGGTTGGCGAAGCGAAGATGGATCAGAAATGGCTTCCTCTTCTACAAAATTATTTGAAGCAATTCGTGTCTCCTAGCTTTTAAAGTTCTTTATTATCTTCGGTATTTTACCCGTCGTCTTTGCCAAACGTACCCCTGAACTGGCTGAGAACAAACAGAATAAGATTTTTTTTTCATGGAAGCATATTTTTAAAATTATAATCTTAGCTGAAATTTAGCTCCGCCTTTAAGCTGTTGGTGTTGTTATCTTTTATTGTAGTCCCGTGATGATTTGAAACAAAGAAAAAGACTTTATCTTGTACAGAGACGTTGCTAATAATAACCGCTACGCGACAACGAAGCAGCACGTAGGAAAATATTGCCGACACTCGATCAGTTTGTAGCGATGTGGTAGTTCTTGCCAACAGGCACAAGAAAAAGTCGAGAAAAGAGGGGATAACACCATATGAGCCCTCCGAGTTATACAACGCTTAAGATAAGATCCTAGCTTTAGAAGAATCAAGTGCACAAGATGCAAGTTTTTTCCAAGCGGAAATCTGCTTTACATTCGGCCGGATTTTTGTTTACAAGAGAACTTTTATTCTACGACGAATGAGGAAATCGTTGATTCATTAGGCTGCACGCTTTCTTCGTAAAAAAAATTCTTCATCATTGATTTTTTTTCCTAGCACATTAAGAGTATATTTAATTTTGGGCTTCATTAAACGATCCTGTCTTTTATTTTTGTGAAAATAGCAAAAAAATTGAACTGGGGCGTTGCAAAACTAAAGCTTATTTTTCCCACGCTTAGAACGCCGTTCTCATTCCAGGCTTTTGCTCGGTTACCGCGTTCTAAAAGCCGTCGCGTCCTCGATCTAAAGCTCCCTAAGATTGACAAGATTTCATTAACGAGTTAAGAACAAATGGCATATCTGAGGTTTTAGCTGCGTGGGGCATTTAAAAATAACCAGTTGACGTTGGGCATATAAAATTTAAGGGGTAACGAACATGAGCGAAAAAGTCGGGAGACTAGGCCGAGGGCTGTAGAGCGTCAACCTTTCATCACACGGCAGAGAAAATGTGCAGGAAAGTAATGTTCTACCTGATAATTTTCTTCATGGCTAAAAGAGGGACGTGACGTCCTCAGTCAGGTGATCAAAGCGTTTTGAATGTTTTAGCCCGTTTTTAAAGTTCCTTTTTTTGTCTTAAATTGACAGGTTTTTTTTGTTTTTCTCAACAATTCTTTACACTGTATTGTCGGCTTGGTAACTATTATTCCATTTTTAAAGCAAAAGCAAACATAAACTGAGCCAGAAGTTTCAAAGTGGCGCAAATTGACCGATATTGCAAGTTAAAATCGAAAAGGAGACCTACTTTTGAGACTTTTGTAATTTTTTTTTTTAAACTTAGGAACAGTATCCGGTTACTGCGCACGCACCAAACTTTGATTTTCGGACAGGGTGTCGGGAAATCAAAAGATGCGAGGAGAGTAAGAGAACCTTGAAAAATCCGTTTGCATCGCGCTTGGCCGAGTTCAATACTAATTAAAACTTCTCACGATTACAGATCAATGATATACTGTTCCCGTTGAGTTTCGATTTGGGCGAAATGGGATTTTTTGGCGTTACTTTTATTGCCGTTGGCTGGAGGACCAAAAGATGGGAAGCGCTTTGATGCCGATTGAAGGCTTATTTCTTCTGCCAGCTTCCATACAAGCTTAGATAATTGTGAAAGGAATACGCAGAAATGAAACAGCAACAATAAAGACTGTAAGAAAGAAACCATTGAGATATTGATGTGACTGAGGAGATCTTGTGGAGGGGAGCTTCGTAAAGCAGAATGTTTTGCAACGACGCGTTAGTAAACTTTTTTAAATGAATCTCCCTAACGGCCGCCAAAATCAAACAAACAGGCGCTACACGTTTAGAAAAACTAGTGCAATGAAATCATAATATAATTTTGACTAACCTTTGCGATGATTCATGGCGTTGATATTGCATTTTTATTTATACCTTTCAAACGTCTGAGGCTAGAACGCGAGCAAATCAGGCAAATATTGCTGGACTTGGAACAATTGACCTCTGACACAAGTTTCACATTTTAGAGCGAGCGGAACGAGATTTTCGGTTCGCGAGGCGGTCCTGCTAGCGATAAAATCGCGATAAGTCTTCGTGCCGCTAGCCAAATTTTAAATAAGACGAAAGACTTCTTCGAAAGTCTAGAATATTACTTGAGAATATAAACAACAAATTTCCGTTGGCGGTGCGGTTAAGGAAATCTTGTCGAGTCAATATGAAAGTTCCATTGTCTTTTGAAGAAAAAACAGATGACGCTCGCGCGTGCGCATAATCGGGACACTGTCCCTTCAACTGTTTGTTTGCCGAAAAAATGTTCAATGCTAGTTAATAAAAGAGAACTTTAAAAACTAAGAGGATGTATTTGGCAGCCATATTGTTTTTCTTCATTCCTGGGAGAGAGGTCATGTAGCAGCTCTTCCAACCCTAAAAGCCAAATGGTTTGCAACCCTAACCTAAAACAATAGAAATAATGGTGAACAATGTTGTGTTAATGGTTTCCCCGACCGATTAAAAGCCACCCAACGAGCAGGGAGAGAATTGTACGGTCATACCACCTCGGTAAGCGCTGTCAGCGGTTACTGAGGTGGTCCAGTAGCCTTATATTTTTTTATTTCTTTTTTACTCTCTTTTTCACCTGTCTGGTGCATATAGCTAGTAACATAGTGTGTTAAGTTGAAAGCAAAGTTTACAGAAATATAAAAAATGCGGTATGTATCGTAGTGTATCTACCGGTTTTTTAGTAATAC